CAACCTCACGAAGAGGCAAACACAAGTGACACACTAACACTTGTCCTGTAAAATTCTCCCCTTAAACACTACTCTCAAGCCCCTATGGCTACATTGTGGATGCTACTGAATGAGTATGACGGATCTTCAATTTATAGAACTCCAAACATTTTCCTACAAGAAAAAGAACTAGCCAAATATAGGAGAATTATAATTTCCTTCTACAAAAAGGAAAACCCAATTAAGGTAATTATATTGCCTTTTCCTTCAACAAATAGGAAAACCAAATATAGTAAGAAAATTATGGCAAACACCTAACAATTCTCCCCCTTGGCCAGAATTTTCTGACAAAATAAACTTGATCCTCCTTCTTCACATAGCCTTCAACAGGTTGCATCTCCAAATCTCCACTACAAAGTTTGTCTCAACGTGCGTAGCACACCGGTCAAATTTCTCAGACAAAAATCACGATTATCGTCAAATATGTTGCGGCTAGAACTGAACCCGCCAAGATGAACCTGTCTTAAACCTCGCTCTGATACCACTTGGTAGGACCGTAAAAATCAGGTGTCATACGGAAGCTAGCAAAGCAAACCTTGAACGACGATAAATCATACAACAAAGGAGAAATATACCAAAATAGACACAAACATTTAACGTGGTTCTATAAACTCTCGGGTTTATGAGCTGAAAAATGGGTAGATGCATCTTATTCACGAACAACAAGTCTTTCATCTTGCTTCTCCAAACATTATAATTTCTCACATTTAAACATACCATCTTGCTCATATTCGCCTCCATTCCGTAACAACCCGGATAAATAACCAAGGCTCGTTAGTAGTGGCTCGAGGAGTCAAGTCTGGTTATTTATATATGACACATGACTCTATTCTTAATGACTCAATAAATCTGGTGGAAAGTGATACTTTGTCAGAATTGTGGCATTGAAGATTGAGTCATATGAGTGAGAGGGGGATTACGTGTTTGGCCAAGAAAAGTTTGCTTTCTGGAGTGAAACAAGCAAAGCTGAAAATATGCATACATTGTTTAGCTGGCAAACAGAAAAGGGTTTCCTTTCATAGCCATCCTCCCTCAAGAAAGCCCGATTTATTGGAGCTAGTGCACCCCGATTTGTGTGGTCTTTTTAGAGTAAAGTCAAAAGGTGGTGCACTTTACTTTGTGACCTTCATTGATGATCATTCTCGTAAGCTCTAGGTTTATCCTTTGAAATCTAAAGATCAAGCACTTAGCGTGTTTAAGGAATTTCAGGCCTTAGCTGAGAGACAAACGGGGAAGAAATTAAAATGTATTCACACTGACAATGGTGGTGAATATTGTGGTCTCTTTGATAACTATTGCAAGGAAAAAAGAATTCGTCATCAGAAAACTCCGCCCAAGACACCTCAATTGAATGGTTTGGCAGAGAGGATGAATAGAACTCTAGTTGAGAGAGTTAGATGCTTACTTTCAGAGGCTAAACTTCCAATTACATTTTGGGCGGAAGCACTTAACATTGTTGCCTATGCTATCACTTTGTCTCATGTAGTTGCTTTGGATGGTGATGTCCCAGACAGAGTTTGGTTTGCCAAAGATGTTTCTTATGATCACCTGAGAGTTTTTAGGTGTAAAGCTTGTGTGCATGTTCCTAAAGATGAGAGATCGAAACTGGATGTCAAAACTAAGCAGTGCACCTTTATCGGGTATGGTCAAGATGAGTTTGGGTATCGTTTTTATGATCTAGTTGACAATAAAATTATTAGAAGTCGTGATGCAATATTCTTTGAAGACCAAACTGTTGAAGATATTGACAAAGCTGAGAAGATAGATTCTCGGAGTAATGAGAGCTTAGTTGATATTGATCCAGTTTCAATTGCTAAGACACATATTGCACATGAAAGAACTCAAGACAATGATGAAGATAGTGATCAAGATCAAAATGATCATCATGGTGTAGATGTTATGGATGCTCCAGTTGATGAAGTTGTGGTTGATCAACAACCAATTCCTGCACAGGTAACTACTTCGAATGCTCCTGAAACCTCTCTTAGAAGATCTACAAGGGAGAAGCAAAAATCAATGCGCTATCCTCCTGATGAGTATGTACTTTTGACTGACATGGGAGAACCTGAGAATTGTGATGAAGCCATGCAAGATACTCACAAAGATCAGTGGATCGAAGCGATGGAAGATGAGATGAAGTCACTCCATGAGAATGACACATATGAGTTAGTGAAATTGTCGAAAGGTAAGAGAGCTTTACCTAACAAATGGATATTCAAAATAAAGCAAGATAACCATACCTATGCTCCTAGATACAAGGCAAGGTTAGTTGTTAAAGGTTTTGGCCAGAAGAAGGGAGTTGACTTTGATGAAATTTTCTCCCCTGTTGTGAAGATATCTTCTATTCGTGTGGTTCTAGGCTCAGCTTCAAGTCTAGATTTAGAGGTTGAGCAGATGGATGTCAAGACTGCTTTTCTTCATGGTGATTTAAATGAGAAGATTTATATGGAACAACCTGATGGTTTTATAATTAAGGGAAAAAAAATTATATCTGCAAATTGAAAAAGAGCCTGTATGGATTGAAACAAGCTCCAAGACAATGGTATTTGAAGTTTGAATTTCTCATAGAAGAACAAGGGTATAAGAAAACTTCTTCAGACCACTGTATATTCTTCCAGAAGTTCTCTGATGATGATTTTATTATTTTATTGCTTTATGTGGATGACATGCTTACTGTTGGCAAGAATAAATCCAGAATTGTTGTCCTTAAGAAGCAGTTGAGCAAATCGTTTGCGATGAAGGACTTGGGGCCAACAAAGAAAATCTTGGGCATTCAAATCCACCGACACAGAGATAAAAAAGAGTTATTTCTGTCCCAAAAGCAATACATTGAGAAGGTACTCAAGAGGTTCAATATGACAGATGCAAAAGTGGTTAGTACTCCTCTTGCTAAACACTTCAAATTGAGTATTAGTCAGAGTTCATCTACTGATGAAGAGAAAAAAGAGATGTCTCGTATTCCTTACTCTTCTGCCGTTGGTAGCTTGATGCATGCTATGATTTGCACTAGACCACATATTGCATATGTCGTTGGTACTGTTAGTAGATTTCTTTCTAATCCTGGAAAAGAACATTGGGATGCAGTAAAATGGATATTAAGGTATTTGAAAGGTATTGCAGATTTGAAGTTGTGTTTTGGCAATGGCAAGCCGGAACTTGTTTGTTACACAGACTCTGGTTTAGGAGGCAAACTTGATAATTCAAGATCCACTTCCGGTTATTTGATCACTTTTGTAGGGGGAGCTTTTTCTTGGCAATTTAGACTACAGAAGTGCATAGTTCTATCCACCACAGAAGCCGAATATATTGTTGTCACAGAAGGTGCCTAAGAACTATTATGGATGAAGGAGTTTATTAATGATCTTGACTTTGAGCAGCCAAGGTACATCTTATTTTGTGATAATCAGAGTGTTATCTGTCTCACCAAGCACTCCACTTTTCATTCTAAGACCAAACATATAAATAGAAAGTATCATTGGATAAGAATGGCCGTGGAAGAGAAATTATTTGAGGTTGAGAAGATACACACTGATGAAATCCTTCGGATATGCTGACAAAGGCGGTGGTTGCAGATAAACATGAATTTTGTAGAAAATTGGCAGGTATGAAGCCTGTCAATAGTTCCTCTACTTAAAATCACATTTGGCCCCTTGGCTGGAGGGGAAGTTTGTTGGGCTCATGCCCATGTTGTCCAGCCAAAGGCCCGATGACCTAATCCTATTCTCTTTTGGTTTCCATTCCTATTTGGAATTGGATTTAGTTTATTCCTATTTTGAGTGAGTTTTGGCTTTAAGAGAAAGCACCACTCATGATATATAAATAAGACAACCTTGGAGAATTACTCTATGCTCATTGATACAAGTCTTTGAAAAACTTAAGCACATAAGAGTGGTTTTTGAGAGAGCTTTTGTCAAGAGAGAAGAGAGAAGAAAAATATTTGTTTTGCTGCAGATTATTATTCCGACCAGCCAACATTCAAATGACGTTTTCTGATTCGTTAACCGTTGGATCGGGCTGAATTTTGACTAAGTATTCGTAACAACTTGATATTAGATTTGAACGGTGGAGATCGGATATGGAGGCTCGTAGAATCTAATTTTGAGCCTCGAACAACAGCTTCATTTTTGTGGATTCTCCTCTTTCTTCAATTGATTAGTTGTTGCTCTTGTTACAGTTGTTGCTCCATGTTTGACACTTGTTGTGTAGCCAATTTGGAGAACTTTTGTAACCCTCTTATTGTTATAGTGGAGCCTTTTGGATCTTTGTGATCCCGTGGTTTTTACCTTCGATTTGAAGGGTTTTCCACGTTAAAATTTGGTGTGCTTTATCTTCTTTATTTTCGGGTTTGCCTCTTCCTCGTCATAACACTTATAGGCCACGGGTTTGAGCCGTGAAATTAGTCATTAAGGGGTCGTTTGGTAGGATGCATAAGAATAATGCTAAATAGGGTGTATTAGTAATACTGGTATTAGTTATGCCAGAATTAGTTATACTGACATATTTCCTATCCATTGTTTGGTTTGATATATTAAAATATTGCACAATTTAAAAAAGAATTATTTATTTATAAAAATGCCCTCAAAAGTAGTTCATCACTCTATTTTTTTTTTAAAGAAACATATGTCGGAAAATGTTTTTATATGAAAAAGTTTTAAAAAATGTATTTGATTTGTCTACCTATGTTGTAATATATAACTAAATATTTATTTCTAGAAAAAGAAATATGCTAAATATTTATTTATTTACTAGGGATAATTAAGCATAAATTTTAAAGGATAATTTTATCTTTAACTAAGCTAATGCATGCATTAAAACCCATTACAATGGTTTTTTATGCATTAGTTATGCATATGATAATACCAAATAGGGTTGTATAACTAATGCTTGCATAACTAATACATGTGTTCAAAAAGTGTACCAAACAAGATATTATTAATATACAAAATTAATGCATGCATTAGATCATCTTACCAAACAACCCCTAATGCTTGTTATAGGGTAGACGGTTTACATCATAACTTTGGAGTACGTTTCTTTCTGCGTGAATGCGAAATACTTTGTGCACCATAGTGTCTGTTTTCCCCTTTTTAACAACTTTAACGTCACTCATCAATTTAATTGATAACTTAACTAGTGATAGCTCAAATTAGAATGGACTACTTCTTTAATGGCATATATATGTAGTATTAGATAATAATAGCAAAATACAAATTTCTGCTTTAACGGCACGTCTCACGGTCTTATGATTTTAACATCACGCTGACATTCATGATCTTATTAATCAATTCCCCATTTCGATGTCACAACCATTGTTAGCCACAAGAATTCTTCATTAAATTAATCTCCATGAACCTTCCTTATTTATTTTATTACCCCATTAAGTTATCTTAATTGAATTAATCTTCCTTGTCCCTAATCTCACAGTCCCTCCACCAAACAAAAAACAACAAAAAAACAAAATGTTTTTTTTTTTTAATAAGTCACTTATTATACAGCTCAATACCGTTGCAATTTCCACGACTCCAGATAGTGGTCGTTACTCGTTAACCCATTCCTCTTTTTCCTTCTTTCTTCTTCTTCACTTCAATTCAAAGCTCTTTTTTCTAACTTTTCACTAAAATAAAACTTTTCAACTAATTTTCTTCTACTTTTTTTTGGCTCTAACACTTTTTATTCTCCATAGCCTTTTTCCTTTGAATCTCCCAAAATATAAGAAAAAAAAATGAAACTCGGCTCAAGGCAACAGCATCAAACTCAGGTAATTACAAATTTCTTCCTTATTTTTTTCCCGTTTTTTTGGTTTCCTTAATTCACTGATGAAGAATTGCAGAGAAGTTGGGCTGAAATATTGTGTTTCGGTTGCACGTGCCTACAGCTTTTTTGGCCGCGAGTGGTGATGCGCAAATGGCTCAATATTAGTGCTAAGGATTCCGATTATAGTGCTGACCCTGACTCTGATTCCGGCTCCGGTTCCGATCCCGAACAAGGTTAGTTTCGTCTTTTTCTTCTTAAGCATTTTTTATGTGTATTATTGTGTTGTACTGTGTTCAATTTGATCTCTTCTTTTTGTAAGAAGTTGAATTCTTAGATTTGCTAATTCTGCTGTGTGGTTTTGTGTTGTAGAAATCGGTGACTGGCCGAGGCAGTCGCGGTTGAACGATGCCAAAGGCAGCCAAGTTGATATCAACGGTATTAGAATTGTTTGTTGCTCAATTTATTTCCAATTATATCCAAAATGTTCAATTTTCTGAGTTGGTAGGTTTTTCGGCAGCTTCGTATGATAGGCACTTTTTTGGTGATTTTCTAGTTGGAAGGGATTGAGTCCTCATTGATTTTCAGTGTAGACTGGGACGTGGATTTCTTTTCAATGCAAAATGTACATGTACTAGTCTCACTTTTTAATAGGTTAAAAGGCACCCCGGTACACTAAGCTCCCCCTATGCGCGGAATCCGGGGAAGGCCGGACCATAAAGGTCTATTCTAAAAGGTACTAATATGTAAAAGTATATGAAATAATTTTAGTGAAAAGGAGTTCTTTTTCTTTTAAACCTTTTTATACTTAAGGGGAGGAGAAGGGGAAATGGGGAGGAAATTATAAGGTGGGGAATCAAATCTTCATCAACAAGGTGAAAGTTTAGGTAGCCAACTAACTGGACTACTAAGATTCCCGAAAAAAGAGTTATGTTTGATTTGCAGATGGTAAATGTTTCACATAGGATGGGACAAAGGGAGTACTAATTAAGATTTTATAAAGGATCTTATTGGTGCAAGTGTTCTGAATTTGATGTTTAAGGGAAATGGTAAAATAGAAGGATGCCGAAAATAGGATGTAATGGCTTGTTGAATATTCACATTTCCATGCAAAGAATCAAGGTGTAAACTTGTTAAAATTGTTATTCATGAATCTGGATTCTTTGGTACGTCGTCTTGAATTGTTACCACTATTCTCTTATCTAATTACTTCAATCCTACTTTTACTTGGTTATATTATTGTTTTTTATCTTTTGTGTCTCAGATGCTCTTCCCAGGATAAGAAGACGAAAGTCAGAAACATTTAGGGCACAGTACATTAACACGAAGGAAATTAAGTATGCATCTTTTGCTTTAATTATTTGCTCCAAAAAATACAGTTTCCATATTGGCTTGTAGCATTATACTTGTTTAGNTTTGCTCCAAAAAATACGGTTTCCATATTTGGCTTGTAGCATTATACTTGTTTAGCCAGTAAACTTTACCGAGTTTGTTGCTTCAAGGGTCTGCGTTGGCACATGGAATGTTGCTGGAAGATTTCCTTCAGAAGATCTTGAACTTGATAGCTGGTTGGATGTTAATGAGCCTGCTGACATCTATGTGATTGGGTACATATCTCTCTTTGTATGTGACATCCAGAAGTGCAATTTATGCATAAAGAGTGTTGTACATTGCTCTTTCACACAACATATGTAGTGCACAATCCAGCAGAATGATTTTTTTACACTGGCATGTCACCAGCCACTGTTTTCTTGTTTGGGGGGTGGGTGGGTAGGAGGAAGGTAGTAACCACTCTCTGTTGATGTCGAAAGTTAAGGAGATGCTATTAAATTTTTGGTCCAAACCGCTTCACACGGTTCATGTATTTTACCAATGATATTAAAAGTTAAATCTGCTGTCCAGTTCTACAACTAATTTCCTCTCCATTAAATTTTGAACTTTTACCTACCGTCAGGTTCATGATTTCATTGAGGATGCATGTCCCTTTATATGGTAAAAATCCAATCTCATGTACACCCATGCATCACTCAGAGTCTCAGACATCAGAAGTTAATTTGATATTTTAGTGTTTTGTTAGGCTTCTCAGTTATATTAACAACCCCTATTTGCATAAACAGATTTCAGGAAGTTATACCATTAAATGCTGGCAATATCTTTGGTGCTGAAGATAGCCGCCCCATTTCAGTTTGGGAGGACATCATTCGCGAAAGTCTGAATAAAGTCCCACCAGTGAATAAGTTTAAATCCTTTAGTGATCCTCCTTCACCATCAAGGTTTAAGCCATCTGAAGATGCCCCTGATATAGAAGAAGAAATTGCCTTTGAATCTGACAGTGGTAGCGAGGAGGAAATTTTTCCAATAAATGAAGAGTCCAGTGACTTTGTTGAAATCAAGGATGGACGAGTCAATGATGTAGCTGTTTTGAACAAAACTTGGAGTTTGAACCCAATCAATGAGGAGTTTGAAAGGCAATTTTCTTCTCCAAGGAGGCTAGACAGGCTATATTGCTTTAAACCAGATGAGGATGAAGAAGAAGAAGCAGGAGAATCAAATGTTCAGTTTGCAAAAAAATTGACAAAAACAATTAGTGGGACAGAGAGAATTGGTCTTTGCTGGCCAGAGCGACCATTGGATCTTTTGGGCCAGCATGTTTCAGAAAGACCTGGTTCCTTTAAATCTATGAAATCATTCAAAGCTTCTAAATCTTTTAAAACTTACAGTTCTTTTAAGTTGAATGCTAATGGTCCAAATAGAACACAATCAGATGCAACTCTACTCGCGGAACTAGACCTTGAAGCTTTGATAAATCGGAAAAGAAAACCATCTTATGTGAGGATTGTGAGCAAGCAAATGGTTGGAGTTTTTCTTAGCGTATGGGTTCGTAGGAGCCTACGAAAGCATATACAGAATTTGAATGTGGATACAGTTGGTGTTGGTGTAATGGGCTTCATAGGTAACAAGGTTTGTTCTTCAAAACTTTCAGCTTTTGGTGGATTGCTTTTGAAAGCTATTTGAAGAAATGACATAATTCAGACTTCAATTTTAATAGTTGGAAGTGCAAGAAACATCCCTATCAGTTTTTATTGCTGTATGTTGCACTGCATTTCAAAGTTTTGTCAGTAGACGGAAAAGCACATCTAAATGATCAAGGGATTAGAATTTCAACAGCTGCTTAGGATAATCATAATGTCATGGATGTTATTAGTGGTTGTTTCCTGTCAAACGCATCTATTAATCATTGAAGGACATTAGCATTATATTATATTGCATAAACAACAATTTCTGCAGATTTTTGAAATTATAATGATGCCCTATGCACAATCTATGTCTAGTTTCTTCCATTATTTGTTTCCTTTGCACCAAAATGATCTTAGATGGGAAATAATTTAAATGAAATCCCATAGTTGGACCATATCGTTACATTTCACACAGTTATCAAACAGATAGATAAAAGGCCACCTGACTCCTGATTTAACAGCTGTCAATAAGTTATCTGTGTGCTGAGCAGTGATTCTATGTTTTGGAATTGCAATGGACTTCCTATAACCTTGTGAGCATTATATACAGTATTTACCATTCAAATAGGATAAACTTTGCAAATACAACTTTGTTTTTCCATGCATAACTCAGTTTACCTTTTAAGGATATAGATCAAACTTTTCGGTGGACGAAATAGAAAATGTGGTCCAACTTAAAGGAGGGAAAGAGGAACATCAACTCTTTATTCAACTTGTGACAAACTACACTGGACAGAAATAATCCAGACCTTACGTGAAAGTTGGTTACTTTCAATTTTGTGATGAAATTGCAGTACTTAGCAGGTTTTCCCTGCATGCTCGTCTTTAAAATAAAATTTGAATAATTTCATGCGCTTTACAAATTTGCTTCTACGCTTTTTGATGACACTAGTAGACACTAATCCTAATATGGTAGATGCTATTGAAAACTCATCAGAATTTCATTTCTTAAATGGAAAAATACATTTATTTTATTGTATTTCATTGCTAACTCTTTTCTTCTGTTTTTCTTTCTTTTTTCCTGATAAGTATAATTTTTCAAAGAAATGACCAGCAGGAAATTGTATATTGCTCATCTCTTACTCTTCTCTTCAGGGATCAGTATCTGTGAGCATGTCTATATATCAGACTTTCTTTTGCTTTATCTGTACTCACCTAACATCGGGTGAGAAGGAGGCAGATGCAGTCAAAAGAAACACTGATGTCCATGAAATTCATCGACGAACACATTTCAATGCATTCTCTAGGATCGGACTTCCTAAGAGCATCCATGATCATGAGTGAGTGTATTTGCCTATTAAGCAAGCAATTCTGTTATATCTACAAATTATAACATTTTTTTCTCTTTTATAACCATGGATTTTGCCCCCTCCATCAAGTTTGATTTAGCAAGTGTATTTGCATTGGTTTTCTCTGTTTGTGACTTTCATCGGGGACAGTTCTGGGGAGAGTTCTCAAGGAAAACAATATGTTAGTCGATGTTGCAATTCTCCTTCTCTTTATAAATTGAATTGGAAAATCGGTGGCTGGAACACAATTAAACAGAATAGAAGTATGCCCGTCATCCCTTTGTTACAGTAGTCCCACTCAAGCCACGTATTGAACAGCTTATTGAAAAGATAGAGAAAGCCACGTACTGAAGAATTTAGCTCATAATAGTGAAAAGAGGTTTCAGTGATCCTGGTTACTTGGAAAGGTTATTGTTTATTGGAGGCAAGGGGAAGGAAAAGATTTTTCAATCCTGGAATAATTTATGTTTCCATCTCATCCACTAGCTGCCCCTGGTTCAGTGGTGCCCTAATGCTATATGGTGCACCTATTCTTATCCTCATAGATCTAACTCATTGTTCAATTTGGCAAACCCTTCATGGGTAGGGACACTATTGCTGAGATAATGACTTCTATACGGAATGCTGATATGGATCGAAAAAGGGTGGTTCGAATAGCATCTACTAATATTACCGAAAATATTGTTCAAATACTTTTACGAGAAGGTTTTATCGAAAACGTGAGAAAACATCGAGAAAAATCTGTTGATAGCACTTGAGGTTTTGTTGACCTTTATTCATGTAAAACAAAATTCAAGTTTCCATGTACTGACCTTTGCTAATTATCAGAACATTACTGCTTTTCGTGTACTGTCCTTCTGATGTTCTAGACTTTACTCTCATCTCATTCCTTAAAGATTCAGATTAATGACAAGTTTATACACTTGCAGGCGAATAATCTGGCTGGGAGATCTGAATTATCGTATTAATTTGTCGTATGAGAGAACAAGGGAGCTGATATCAAAAAAGGACTGGTGTCAGTTAATTGAGAGAGATCAGGTAAATGTGGATACTCTTAACCACAAACGCTTGCTTTTTCACTGATTGTTGATTGGATTTCTGATCAGTCAATGTTCCTGGTTGACTGATAGGCCACTCACACACTTGCAGTCTCACCCTCTTATACTCCATTTTGTGTTAGTTTGAGAAGGCGCAACCTGTTGATGTTTTTTGTGTGGATGACTGCATGATTTCTGCAGAAAATGTTTTATTCTTGATCTTTACCTTCCATGAACATTGCATATGATCTTCCAGTCCCTTATTCCACCCCAAAAAGTAACTTCTCTCGTGTTGTGCTTGTGTATCTCCAATGAGAGGTGGTGGGCAACAGACATCTACTTTAATCTCCGTAGCTAGTGACTTATGATTTGCATTTGATGAACTGTTCTTAATGATGATAAAATAGAGAGAAAGAAGAAGGCATGCATAAGTACAAGTAGGTATTCTAATTAGTTATCACTGTTAACAATCCTTTTTAGAGCATGGCTGAAATGGCAATGTACTAATGTCCATGAGAAAATTAACTATGAGCCGACTTTTATACGTGTTTGAATTGATTTGAAATTGAGACTATAAGCAATTTTACATTGTGATGATAACATACATCTTCCTATTTTTGCAGCTCAGCAAAGAGTTCAAGAAAGGTCGTGCATTTGATGGGTGGTCTGAAGGTACTTTAAACTTTCCGCCAACTTATAAATATGAAGTAAACTCAGAGAAGTATTGCGGAGAGGATCCAAAGGCCGGGAGACGTAATCCAGCATGGTATGCATCTACTAATATTGTTAGTTCAAGAGCTTTATTGGCTGTTCACTTCGATTAGTGTTTGATTGTGTACAATTCTTAAAGTTTCGGCTTAATTGTAATCTATGATGCCCTGCAGATCAATATTGTTATGCTGCTATTGACAAAAGGAAGAAATAATTCACCTTATATCTATATTTACCTTGCGGCACTAGCATATTCGTGCAATACTGTCATCAATATATGTCTCGTGGTATGAGAATACCACATAATTGCATTTCCCACCATAACTTGTATATGTACCCTAAATGAAATTTATGGAATAGCTGCCTAGGCAACATTTAAAGGTGTTTGAAGAGTCCCGACTTTTTGGAGGGGGAAAATTGGTCAATAAGTGTGTGAGGAAAATAGTCAAATGCTTGCACCTTGGTATTTAACTGAAGCTTGACCATGCTAAATTGAAGTTTGCATAACACCAACTGCAATCCCTTGCTTATGCGTAATAAGCCTGTCATCCTAATGTCCATCTTCTGTTATCTCTCTCTAAGTGATGCCCATCCTTCAACCATCAGGTTCTCTCATCAGATTGGCAATTCATATGACGTGGATCAGTAACTCAAGATTAAGCAAACTATTTCGAGCTATTTTAAATTTCAACTTCCCAGTTCTTTTACAACCAATACTATACAGTTGCAATATTTTAATATTTCTTGTTTTTCAGGTGTGATCGAATTCTATCATTCGGGAAGGGGATAAGGATACTGAGTTACGGGAGATCTGAACTTAGGTTTTCAGATCATCGACCTGTCTCTGCCACATATATGGTAGAGGTTGAGGTATTTAGCCCGAGGAAGTTGCAACGGGCCCTCACTTTTACTGATGCTGAAATTGAAAAGGAGGAAATGGTTACAGATATGGGAAGAGAGAGTGGAATGGGTCGATTCATTTCAGAGCAGGTTAGTTTGCGACTTATATGTTTTAATTTTCAAAAGCATAAAGCCGTGTGTGCATTTCGAACAAATCTTGTCCCTGAAGCAGATATAGGGTCAGCGGACACTATAAACAAAGAAGTCATTTCTATTAGTTATAGTCCCCTAACTTTGTACAAGTATTTAACTTTACAGTCTTGAGGGTTTGAAATTATACGAGATGGCTATCTTGGTTAAATGAAATATTTGCCATCTCAGCTGCCCCAACTAATTTGAGATTGAAGTATAGTTGATTGGCTGATAGGAGGCAATGTCACCATGTGATTTTAGAACTTCCGAAGTTGTTAAACTAGAAAGAGAAAATGGTATAGAGAAAATGCTACAATTATGGATGCAGTATGATGACTTTACAGAAAACTATTCAGTCCTGGCATTATTTGATTTTGGTGTTTAGTCACAATATTTTATTTTTGGTATCACAATTTTATTTGATAAGAGTTATTTTTTTTTCTTTTCTGGCATAGAGGTATAACCTATGATGGTATGAGTTTTGTGATGTTTTTGGAAAAGTTGATTGATGCTACATACGAAAAATATGACAAACTCCAAAGACAATGGATGTCCAAAATTTACAGTTGCCAATATCATCTATAATTTCCCTTAGTGATTCTTTCTCTCAAGTTTTTAATTTGTTTACATAAATCTAATAACTCAGGCTTGTAGAATCAGACATTGCATAATTGAGATATTAGTGGTAGATATGCGTGTCTTCCAAAAGTGAAATAAATCATAAGAAAAAAATCTTAGACTTTGACTTGCAAGTACAAAGAGATAGAAGTTTAGCAGAGTAATACAGAATGTGTGATGCATCAGTAAGTAGCTTGGTGATACGAAAGGACTATATACACGGTACATTCAATAGAAATCAAGAAAGCAAGCTGTGATCCCAAGTTCTTTACTTAATCATATTTTCTTTGGGAACATCAGTGTTGACAAATATATTGTATTTGATGGTTGCCAGTGAAAGCTTATGGTGAAATTGCTAGGGATTCTAACATTTCTTTTTTGACGATAATCTTTTTTGCTGAAATAGGATGATTCTTATTGGATGCGCTAAAAAGGACATTTGAAGCGGCTGCAAGATAGATTATCCGACTGGTGAATTTTCATGAGTAACGATTCTGCATATATTATTTTGATTTTTTATTCTTCACCTTTGAGGCTGTATATTGTGTTTAGGCGATGCATCTTTACTGTATATTATTGTTGTTCAGACTTCTAAGTGAGTGAGCCCATTTTTGTAGTCTTCCTTCTTAGTCTGGACTTTTCCAGCACGAATTTGTGAAGCAGTGTATAGCAAATTACCAATGTATGCAATAATGTTGCTCTCAGCTTTTCTGACAAATAACATTCTTTACAAACCGAAGCACAGTATTCTTCTCTATCTATTTATCAGATGTTTAAAATCTAGCAAAAATATAGTCAAAATAGCACAGGCTAGACATTTTTCGGATTGATAATCAAAAAATAGTCCGTGTTTGCGAAAAATAGCCATTGTTTTATTGAAACACGGAAAGTTCCAGTATAATATGCGGGATTACGAAGCTCCTGCATATAAACTTCCAGTATATTATGTTGGAATTCCAGGACATGGAAAGTTCCAACATAATATGCGAGATTATGAAGCTCCTGTATATAAACTTCCAGTATATTATAATGGAACTCCGGCACATTATAAAATTCTAGCATATTATGCTGGAAGATTATGTGTAAAAAATTCGAACTCTACCATATTATGCTGGAATATTTTCGGATTTTTAATCGTGTTTTTGTTCAGATTTTATCTTTATATGAAAAGTGGTTAAATTTTGATTACTTTTGAAACTGTGATTGTTTTTCAATTATCTGTTATAAATATGGCTACTGTTGAATGTCACACAAACAAATAGGACGGCTTTTCTGCAATTTAAGAATTGGCCAAAAGGAGTTGCACTTTCCTACTACCGTGCACACTGCTACAGAAACTTTAATTTCTAGCTTCATGATGATATTCTTAAAGCCTACAGAATTAGCTGGTGCAGTGGCAAAACTTGAAATCTCGTGGAGGCAACAGAATTCTAGGGCACTATAAATTCTGCACATGGTTTGTGCATCGAGGTAAGTCTACTCAAGGAATTAATAGTAACTATCATTTGCTTGAAAGACAAAAAGGATGATTCAGAAACAAAAGAGAAAAAGAAGGGGCGAAAACAAGTGGCTTTCTGGCTTCTTTCCCTGGTTCACTAAGTCAAAGATAATAACAGTCACGGCAGGCAAGACATCAATTGACAAAGGTAGGGGCATAAAAAGGAAACCGACAAACCGCACCAACTTGATAATTCGAGTCAAATCGAGAAAAAGCCATGATTATGGTTTGGTTTGGTGTTGGAAAAAAACCCCGACCATAATTGGTTTGGTTTGGTTTTAACTAAAGAAAGTCAAACCGAAATCAAACCAACCCGACATTACATATATAGAAATTTTAGATATATTTAATATATAAATATACTTATTGTGATGTAATTTATAAATATTTCTTAAAAAATTTCATAATTTTATCTTTTAAGGTATTATTTCAAGGTTGGACTTAAAACTTTTGAATGTTCCAATAAGTTTTATAGCCATTAACATTAGTAAATTAAATAACACCAACAAAAGCCCAAACCAAAATCAAATCAATAGTAATGCTAACAAAAGACATTCAATTTAATACTACGAGCGTGAATGTATTGAACAACAACAACAACAACGACCCAGTATAATCCCACAAGTGGGGTTTGGGGAGGGTAATATGTACGCAGACCTTACCCCTACCCCGAAGGGTAGAGAGGCTGTTTCCAGGAGACCCTCGGCTCAAAAAAGCAATAGGAGATGATATATTAGTACCATAAAAATGCGTAATAAAAATAACAACAATATATAAGAGATATGAAATATGAAATACAGAATACGAAATACGAAATACGAAATAGATGGCTGGTATAGTACAACTAGAAGGTAAAGCCCTGCATCAATAGACGACCAATGACATTCCTAGTCTAACTCCTAACTGGATAGTCTCACTCTATTGTGCTGTAGAAATATTCACACTCTCCCCTAACCTACAACCTTAATGCTCGACCTCCATAATTCCCTATCAAGGGTCATGTCCTCAGTAATCCTAAGTCGCGTCATATCCTGTCTGATCACCTCTCCCCAATACTTCTTAGGTCTTCCTCTACCTCTCTGCATGCCCACTACAGCCAGTCGCTCACATATCCTCACCGGTGCATCAGTGCTCTTCCTCTGAATGTGCCCGAACCATCTGAGATCTTACTTCCCGCATCTTGTCCTCCATGGGGGCCACACCCACCTTCTCTCGAATATCTTCATTNGTCAGGCATTCTATTAGTCTTGAATATAACACTAAACAATGCAGTAAGCCATTTTGCAATAATTTAGATAAAAATACATAACCTATTTTTATTTTTATTTTAGCGTTTAATCATGTAATTAATACTCTCTTATTAGTCTACTTATTTTAGCATGACTTAATACTTTTAGATTATGTTTATTTTTATTATGGCTTTTTAATTAGCAATATTTATATTACGTAATTTTATTGTCTTTATTGTTGAATATTTTAGGATAATGCCACGACACATCTCATATTTTGTATTATTTTTTTGGAAAATACTTTATATAGTTGTATCTTACTAGGATTAAAGAAATATTTTGAGCACAATTTATATATTTTGTTCTACGAAGTTTTTATCGGGAAAAAAACCCGAATAACCCGAAAATACGAGAAAACCCGAGAAAAATCGAGAGCGAAAAACCCGATTTTTATTGGTTTGGTTTGGTCTGTAGATTTAATAACTTGACACAATTGGTTTGGTTTGGTCTTTAGATTTAATAACCTGACACAATTGGTTTGGTTTGGTAATTATAAAATCCGAACCAATCCGACCTATGTACACCCCTAGACAGAGGTCGTACCTAATTTTGCACCCAAGCAAAGGTGGATCCAAAATTTAGGACTTTGGTTCCAACCAATGAGCGAGTTCTGGGTTCATAGTTAAATAGTTTTTGCAATTCTATCGGATTTTACATATACATGCTTAAATTAAAAGTTATAAGTTCAAACAAACCACATCTATATTACTAAATTTGCGCCTGCACCCAAGTGTGATCTTACGGCTCATGAAGCGGATGAAAATTATGAAAAATTAGAATACAAATCTCAGTAGAGACAAAAAAAAGAAGAAGAGGTAATTCCTTCAATTTTCTAAGCAAAAAGTGCCCGATAAAATAATTGAGGTGTGTACAAGCTAGGATATCACCAGAAAAAAGGTGGTGTACATTATTTCTACACTGTTTATCAAACATCGAAACAATGATGAACTGGTTCACAGTCAAAAAATCGTATCGGAACATTGCAACAGTCATATTTTTTTATTGAACTATTATTCATTTAGAAAATTCTAGAACTCAAAGTCTTTGAATGGTTATAAATGGCTAGGAATTTCCAACTATGTTGAATTGTCGATTGATAATGAAAAGAGGAGGACGTGACTCGTTTACTTTTATTTCAGTAACCATCTTTAGGAGCTATTATCAATGTACGTTCACAATTTCGTATTCAATTTCATATTCGTTCTATTCTAAGTTGTGTAATAGCGACGAGTCTCAGCAAAAATATAAGAGAATAACCGAGAAGAAGAAGAAGAAGAAAGAGTTTTCGAAAATCTACGTCTTGAGCTCTCCAAAACACATGGTATAAATAGCTAGAGGATTAATAACTAGCTTCGGTTAACAACTCACTAACGGCTAGTTAAAGATTAATCATCAATGCTAATTATAATTAATATCCGAATCATCCTCTAATAAATTTATACTGGCTAGTTTTTAAATTAACTTCAAACTGGCTAGTTTGACCACATCAAGGTAACGGAAAAATAAAATAATAGAACTAATTTTTGAGAATGTGAGTTGGATCAAGCCTTGCATATGGGCGGGGGCGGGGGCGGGGGCAAATTGACTTATTTTACGAGATTTTTATCTATCTATCTATACTACATATGAAATTTATTTACCCTCGCTAATCAAGTTTTAAATTAATTACATGGTCATATACAATTTACCAATTATATACAAATTAGTTTTAAATGAGTATTCCTTGATTGTAGTTTTTTAATTTAGTAAATCCCTTTAAACCCTCATAATTCCTTTCTTACCCAAACAAACTCTAATCGTAGTTTTTTCTAAAAGATTTTCTTCTTTCTCTCTTTGAAATCAACCCTCTTTCTACACCGATTCTACAAGGTTTTTTCTTCTAAAACTCATAATTTTTTCTAACAACTAACAACGGCGGAGAAAAGGATTTATTTTGCCATAACTGGTGTAAGCACGTTATTTTTAACCCACAATATTTTTAAAGTAAGTATTTTTAAAATAATTAATTATTTTTATTTTTTCATAGGATTTTAGTCTACTTTTACTTTAATTTAAATTTAGAATATGAATTTGAAACACAAAAAATAGTTTCATCTTTTCTCTTATTTTTATTTAATTTAGGTCATTAGTATTTTTGTAGAGATATTATTTTAAGAATGAATTTTTGGATTAGTTCTTATTTTTATGTCACAAGACCAACATTTTGAGCCTGATCAGGGCAAATCTTAGGCCCAAATTCGGAGCCCACTTTTTTCCTAACCCAGCAGCCCAACTCCCCTTAAATCCTAGCCTTTTATTTCATTTAATCTAATGGTCTATATTAACCCCCAGATCTCAAATAAGCTTGATCTTTAAAAAAAAAACCTAGGCTTTTGAACCCTAAGAAGAAGAAGGCCAACCGTCACCTAACTCCATCTTCACCTTAGAGCCATCTCACCTCCCTTCATAGACCTAACCGCCGCACCACCCATCTCTGACGCCTATCGCCGCCGCGCCACCACCAAAGAAAAAGGCAGCCACTCCACCCTCAACAAAAACCCGCCGGAAACCTAACACACTCCACCCTTCTCGATCTACCAACGACCTCACTCTCCCTTTCACTTTGAGAGACAACAACCAATCTCTCATTTTCCAAAATGAAAGAAACGACAAAAAACAGAAGGGGAATGGGATTTGGAAAACGAAACAGAGCAGAGAACAGACTACCCTAGAGCTAATGGCCGCACTCCCTTATGTTTGAGACTCTAATCTCTTTGTTTTTCACGCCTCATCAACGACTCCCATACCCCTATTCTTATCTTCTCCCATATCTCTCTCTCTTTCCGTAGCTACTGCCGTCGCCATCATTTAAGCCGCCGTTGCCAAAAATCTGCCGCTCACATCATTTTGGTCGAGTTAAAGAGGTCGAATTCGAGTTCGCCGGTGAGTTTCAGTTCGTTGGTCATGGTTGAATTTTCTGATTCTCGATTCAGTGTGGATTCAGTCCAATTTCTCAGAAGAAAATTATCATTAAAGGTCTAATTCTCTTTCTTTTTTTGTGCATTTTTATGTTACAACTTTGCTGTTGATTGCTTGACTTTGCAAATTGATTTTGTGGCTGATATTATAATTTGTATGTTAGTAGTATGTTCTTGACAGAATAATTGTTATGCTTTAAATCACTTATTCTTTAGTTAACATAAGAAATGAATTGGATTTGGATTATGGGTTTAGTTAAAAAGTTGAAATTGAAGATGATGCTATCTTGAAGACAGGGAAGTGATTTAAACTTAAGAATATTTTTGATTAATTTTCTTGTTTGATTTTATTCTATTAATGGCCATGGGGTCGGGACATAAAGGAGTAGAATTGAAATTTGTGTATTACATGTTTACTACTTTATTTTATTTTGACCGCTAGTAGCATGCTTAGGACGACCACACTAGGGTAGGCAAATTTTAGGTCTCGTCTTTTATTTCATTCGAGGTGAGAGCTTGTTCCCTTTAGTCTATATTTAGGAGAATGCCCCGTAGATATTGTATATAGTATTATCCGGGGGTATGCCCCGTAATGAATGTAATTGAAGGCCGTGACGGACATCGTGGAATGAGCATAGTGTAGACTCTTTGTATTTTTATCTTATTTTATTTAGATGGGGACGACCTCGAGCCTCTTGTGTGTTTTTGCCTTAGTCTGAGTATTCTTTAAAGCCAACTAGATCAAGTACACAATCGTGACTTTCACGGGACTTGGGGAATGCCTAACACCTTCTACCCAAGTCAAATAAATCCCCTTGTCATGAATATTTGGTGCAGACTATGTTTAGAGTCAAATGTGTTTTGAAGAAAATTTTTTATTTTAAAAACGGTGACTTGGCACACCGAAACGAAATATCAGGTGGCGACTCTGATAAAATCCTTCGAAACACAAAACTCTTGTCACTTTTAATTTAAAAACCCTTTTAAGCTTCAAAATTTTTTACTACTTTAAAGGGGTTAGTGAGGTGAAAAAGGGGTGTGACAGATTTGGCGACTTTGCTAGGGAGTTGCAGGTTCGAACGACACTTGATCTTGTTGGATTTTTAGAATATTCGGATGAGGTTTTTACGCTTTTTTATTTTCTTTATGTGATTTTTATTTTGTTTATGTTGTTTTATTATTTGCTAGTTGTTTTATGTGTTTACAGTTTTTCTTTTATATGTTGCTGCTTTATAACTGTCATCATATGTCAATTCTTTCTGCAACAAGTCTCGTAGTATGTGTTGCGTACACAAACTCTTTATTGAGTCACCCTTATTATAGGAGGAGGCCGTTTGATGTATGGAGTGGGTGAAAAGCTTGAGCAGCCACTATCGACCATACGCTCCCCCGAATTGCCTTGTTAGTGAACCCCAAAACGTAGGTCAGCCTTTAGGTCATTTTTATTTGCATCATATCATTTAGACCTACCAAGGCTCGGTCCCAGGCACCGTGTCCCTTTGTAGGAGGCCTATCCAAATTATATCAAAATGGGTCAGTGGCCCAAAAAGACATTTAATCATCCCTATGTGTTACATGTTGTATTCTTTAAGAGTAAAAGGTGTCATTTGGCGGATCAATAATGGTTAAGGGTAAATGAGAAAGAAAAGAGGGTGAAGTGTAAAAATGAATCAAGCAGGGCCCATTTATATTTTTCTTTCACAATTTTTTTTCAAGAAAAAGACCAAAAAAATGAAAATGAAAAATCTAAAAAGATTTTGCACATTCCCATCATTTTTCAAAAAGACAAAAAATATGTTTTCTCCAAATCGGTTGTTTTTTCAAAATTCTCTCCCATATCCAATCTTCCCGAACTATGCATACCTGATTCTCGTCTTTCGGGACGGGATACGTAGGCAGCCCATATAGGGCCTGATCTTCCTATTGAGTCTTAGGTTCTTGGCTTCAGGAAGTCATAGCCAAATCTTGCATGTCTAGCCACGTTTGGCCATATTGATCATTTTGCAAAATAGTGATATTTTCTCAAACTGGATTATTATTCCATGTTCCGTAAGTCCACAACAAGGCGTTCTCTCAATTTTAAGGTCCATTCCTGTTGAATTTGCATGTCTAGTCACTTTTGCCCACATCATCCATTCTTGCAAAATAGGGTCATTTTCGCGAAAGTGGTTTAGCGACCCATGTATTACAATATTGAGTCCACAACTAGGTGTCATATTACTTTAAGACCGTCTTTATTGAATTTTCATCTTTAGCCACGTTTGTCCATATCGGCCATTTGCAAAATGGGTCATTTTTGCAAAGTAATTTCTAGGGCCATGATTATTAGAAATTTGAAGCCATATAAACCTTAGTGACGCATTCCATGTATTATAGGTCACCTTTGTTGAGTTTGCACTAATAGCCACCCTTGGCCACGTAGGTCATTTTGCAAAAATAGCCCAATCATGTCTTGCATGTGTCCAATAGGAGGTGTTGTTGCGTTGCATAGTGTCTTGAGTCACTAACCTTATTTAATCTTATTCTTCTCATTCAGGTATGGATCCATTTGTCAGTGCTTGAGCATGACAGACGCCCCAGGACCATCCAGTCAGGACCACTACATTTAGGAGTTGCTTGAAGAGACTTTTTATATTTTTGAGTATGTTTTCATGTTTCTTTTACTTTCTAGTCTTGGTTATTGTACTTCCTGTTTTGTATTTGAAAACAAAAAAAGGTTTATAAATGGAAAATCTAAAAATATTTTTATTTTTAGTTTATTTTGTCCATTACTTTTCCAGAACTACGCTTGATCTTATTCATGTGGAACATGATATGTAGGCAACCTATATAGGATTCGATCGAATCATTTTTTTAAAATTAAAAACAAATATGAAGTTATAGAATGTGATACATGAGAGGAAAGAAAAGAGTGATAATTAGAAAGAAAAGAGAGAGAGGAAAATGAGCAAGCCAAGAAGTGCTAGAAAAGAAAGAAAAAAGAAGATTGAAATGAACAAAATTGGGATGATGCCAAGTGACCTTGTGACCCTCAAAGTCACTGTAGAACTGTTCATTGTTGTTAGGTGCATTGCACACAATGTGATATTTTTATCTGATAAATGCCCTAACGCTAACATGTTGGCTTTGTTTTGCTCCTTTTTGTTAGTTTGTGGAGTCGAAATTTGAATTGAAAGAGGAGGTCCAAAGTTTGAAATAGCAGATGGCAGAAATGTATCAGGCTTGGATTAGGGGGAATCCTCCACCTTTATTCCCCACTAAATACACTGAAAACCCTACAACTATCCCACCACTATCACAAGACCAGGTTCCCATTATTGTTGATCTTCCCCCTCAACATGCACCAGACTTTACCCCTTACCACAACTACCCTGACACCTCATCCCAAACTTTCCATGCTCCACCAGCCAAAACAACCTCATACCCTGCTCCGACATCCACTCCTATTTTTGTAGCCCCTCCATAATCTACCCTCCATCGATCTTCTAGTGAACATGCATTCAAAGCTCTCGATGCCTAATACTATGCTCTAGAACCAACCTTCAAGGTCTCAGATCCTTATTGTTACACCCGTCACTTTGAGCCTCCTGTTGAAACCGAGAAGCCATCTAAGAACGTGGAGCAAGATGAGATATTCAGTAAAGTGAAGAGTTTAGAGCAATCTTTGAGGAACATGCAAGGGATAGGAAGCCAAGTAAGTGTGGCTTACAAGGATTTGTGCTTGTTTCCTGATGTCTAACTTCCCACTGAGTTCAAGATGCCAAAGTTTGATTTGTATGACGGACATGGAGATCTCGTGGCCCATTTGAGAGGTTACTGTAGTAAGATAAGAGGCACCGTTGGAAAGGACAAATTATTGATGGTCTATTTCAGTTTGAGTCTGAGCGAGGCAGCTCTAGAATGGTACACCCGCCAAGATGCTAGCAAGTGGTATACATGGGACGATATGGCTTAGGCCTTTGGCCAACACTTTCAGTACAATATAGAAATTGTCCCGGATCGCATGTCCCTCACCAAGATGGAAACGAAGCCTAATGAAAGCTTTAGGGAATACATGCTCAGATGGAGAGAGCAAGCTGCCAGAGTCAATCCCCCGATGGAAAAAGACGAGATGGTCGAGTACTTTCTTCAAGCTCAAGAGCCTACTTACTTTGGGCATTTGATCTCGGCTCTGCATAAGCCTTTTAATAATGTGGTAAAAATGGGAGAAATGGTAGAAGATGGGCTGAAGTCAAGCAAGATCATGAGCTATTCTACCTTAAAATCCACAACACAAGCAATTCAGAATGACATATGAAGCTTGCTTGAACATGATGATATTTCCATGGTTGTCTCACAATCACAACATGACCCAATAGTTTTGCCTCACCAATATACTCAGTCATGACCCTAACCCCAACCCCAACCCTATCCCCGAGCTTCACATAATCCACCCCAGTATTATCCTTCGAACAATGTTCGGTCATCTGTCCAACCACTGGGTCACTCCTTGTGGCAAGCACCAGCATCGCATAACACTCTTTCACCTTTAAAACATTTTTGAGCACCCAACAACCCTAGAAAATAGGGGCATGGAGGGGAACAAAACCACTGGGTCACTCCTTATGGCAAGCACCAGCATCGCATAACACTCTTTCGCCTTCACAACATTTTCGAGCACCCAACAACCTTAGAAAATAAGGGCATAGAGGGAAAAAGGCAAAGAAATAGTTTCATGCCAATCAGGGAATCCTACACAAGCTTATTTGAAAGGTTAAAACATTCTGGCCTGATTAATCCGCTCCTCGGCATACTCTGGACCCATATGCAAAAGGTTTTGATCCTACTGTACGATGTATGTACCCCTTTAATGTCCAGGGCATAACATTAAAGATTGTCGTGCTTTAAAAAGGAAAATAGAAAGAATGATTCAAGAAGGGATAATTGTGGTCCAAGGAAGTAATACCCAAGTGTCACACATAATCCTCTACAGGTACATAACAACACAACATCTCTTAGGTGGTCAGTCGTTAATTCAACAATCCATGCTAAGGAAGGGTTAGTCAAAGGAGTTAATAAGCCACTTGGTGAAGACAATGTGATTGAAATTGGTGAAGGTCCCAGTAATTTTGATGTGCAACTCATTGACTAAGATCTCGAGCTTGGTAATTAGAAAACACCTCCTTTCCTCGCTAGAATGGAGTCTTGATAGTTTATTCTGTCATCTTTTCTGCTATCTAGGTTATTTATGGATTGTAATCCAGATTTCATCTTGTTTATTTTGGTGATTCAAATCCTTCTATCCTCTTTTGCCTATCTCTACGAGTCTTGTTAATTAGTTCTGTTCTCTAAGTCTATCATCTAGGGTTGTTTCGGGGCTTTAATCAAGATTTTATTCTGCTGTTCAAATCCTTCTGTCCTTTGGTCAAATGAGATTTTTGTTTTTTGTTATTTCTAGTCTTTATTACTTTTTTTTCTTCTTCTTATATATAGCACTCTTCATGCCAGTTCCAGTGACATGGCATGCATGTAGAGTTTTTAGCCAGATCTTGAAAGCTAGTCTAATCACGGAATAACGAAACACAGTTTTGAATATGATAAAAGATGCGTTTGAGGAAATAAATGAAGATTCACGCATTCTAAGATAACCTAAAACTTGAATTGAGTGAAACTGAAGCAGTTAGTCTGGAAATCAAGAGGTTGATAAGAGCATACAACAAGGAAATGTCTCTCAAGTAGTTTGAGGTATATCAGTCAGTGTTGAAATACATATTTTCACATCAAAATAAGGTTGAGTTAAGTCTTATCCAGACTGACAAGGATCAGCCATTAGGACAAAGGTATTGTCCATTGGCACTTTGTGTTTGTGTTGATACCATCAAGAGATATTGTGCATGGTTCTTCTGCTTATTTGCAATTGCATGATTTGCACTTGGATTTCTCAAGATTTGGTATGACGAAGGCATATTATTTTGTTACCCCAAACACTTTTATCCTTCACTACCTTTTTGAGCCTTAATTCATTTTCTTTCATACCCCTCTTTTGGAATTAGAAATAGATTTAGAAAAGAGAAAGAAAAAAAATAAAAATAAAAAGTAAAAGAAAAAAATTCATAAAGTATTTGTCGGAACTATGTTCGACCTGATTCCTTTGAAGGATACGTAGGCAACCTTACTATGAGGTTTGGTCCTAACAAAATAAAAATTTAAAATTCCCCAGACTCAATGAAACTGGGGCAGAAGTTTTAGTTTTGTAAATAGATCTGATTCCAAAAGTTGTAAGTTAAAACCCCGTTCATTTTAGTTGTTTTGAGTCTTTATAACACCCTTTCTTTTGAACCCTATCCAAAAGCCTACATTACGGTCCAAAGAAAGACCTTCCGACCAATCTTTGACGATGCCAAGTCTAGTGTGTGGTAAAGGTATGACCTTCTTGAATCATGGGCAATACCTTGTTCTCAGTACAAAGAGGCAAAACGATAAAAATGAGAGAGTCTTATCGGTGAAAACCCTCACGGGCACCATAAGGCGACAGTGAGTTGAGAAAAGAAAAAATAAGAAAGGTTTGATGGTGAAAACCCTTCAGGGCTCTACAAGTTGATTGAGTATCGTAAATTAGATAGGACAATTGGCGCGTTGAAGTACAATTTCAAAGCTTAGAGATATGACAAGAGTTGAAGATTAGACTTGCTTAATAGATCAGACCGCTTAATCCAAAATGCATGTCATGATTAGTGGGGTTGGTCTTCAAATCAAATTGGTTTCTACTTTGTTCTTTTTCCTGGATGAAAATTTTCTTATTAAATACCATCTCTTCTCATTCTTCCCCTTATGTTGTTCCTCTTGTTACGATTTAGTCCCTTTTAAGACTATTTTTGTCTAAATAATTGAGAAATAATTTCAAAATCTGCTACCAGCTTTTTAATTACACAAAGCAAAGTCCGACAAGCACATCAATGTGGTGTAAGACATGGGGAATATTGTGTGCACTGAGTTGATGACAATAGATGTTCTTTGGGATTCATGTAAAAGGAAATGATTCGGTGAATGTTAGAATACGAGTGCAATGCATCGAGTATAAGGTATTGGACTTGAAAAGGAATATCTCTTGTGATAAGTGTTGTCCAGAAAAGTAGTTGGCTGATAAGAAGTACTGTCTTCCAAGCTGAAATCAAAGTTGATCATGACAAGTGCAAGAGAAATCGCCCTCGTAGTTAAGGCCACAAACTAACCACCATGTTTTAAATTCACAAGTTTTCTTTGTATGAAACATGGATGAAGGCTATGTTCATATCAAAGCTTGGAAGCCTGAATTTTTCTGGTGTAATGCCCCAATTCTGCTTACGCAAAGGCTATTGAGAAGATCATACCTCCTAGGCATTTTCCCTAGTTGAGAATAATTATACCTCCTAGGCATATCCCTAGTTGAGAGGAATCTTTGGCTTTCTTTAAGTTCAAGAGTCTCGCCCAGAAAATAGGGTTGCATCTTAGTCTTTCCTAAGCTATCAGTTCAATTTCCTTAAGTTGTTAATCTTTAGCTTTCCTTGAGTTCAGGAGTCCCGCCTGGAGAATATGGTCAATTTTTGTTTCCTTAAGGTATTAATCTTTAGCATTCCTTGAGTTCAGGGGTCCCACATGGAGAATAGGGTTAGTTTTCAATTTCGTTAAGTTGGTAATTATTAGTTTTCCTTGAGTTTAGGGGTCCCACTTGGAGAATAGGGTCATTTTTTACTTTAGTCAAGCTTAGTTTATAGTTTTCCTCAAGCTCAGTTTCACATCTAGGAGACGCATTTCCTAGTCTGAGTCTTTCTTGTTATACTTTTTAGGAGACGTACTTCCTAAATTGATATTTCACCCCTAGGAGATGTACTTCCTAGTTTGGGTCATTTAAGTTCATCCCTAGGAGACACACGTCCTAGTTTGAGTCATTGAGATTTTACCCCTAGGAAATGCACTTCCTAATCGGGGTCTTTCAAGTTATATTTTTAGGAGACGCACTTCCTAAACTGAGATTTTACCCCTAGGAGATGCACTTCCTAGTCTGGGTCTTTTAGGTTATACTTTTTAGGAGATGCACTTCCTAAATTGAGATTCCACCTCTAGGCAACGCACTTCCTAGTTTTGGTCGTTTAAGGTTTAAGTTCATCCAGGAGACGCACTTCCTAGTTTGAGTCATTCATGCCTCACCTCTAGGAGACACACTTCCTACTTTGATTCATTCAAGTTTCACCATAGGAGATGCACTTCCTAGTTTGGGTTATTCAAGTTTTATCCCTAGGAGACATATTTTGTAGTTTAGTTATTCTAATTTCACCCCAAAGGAGACACACTTTCTAGTTTGGTTATTCTAATTTCACCCCAAAGAAGACGCACTTCCTAGTATGGGTCTTTCAAATTTTATTTTAGGAGACGCATTTCCTAATTTTAGGTTACAAATATCACCCCTAAGAGATGCACTTCCTAGTTTGGGTTATTCAAGTTTCATCCCCAGGAGACACACTTCCTAGTTTGAGTCATTCCTTTTTATACTTTTTTAGGGGATGCACTTCCTTTTCAAAGTTTGTTAATTTTACTCTTAGGGGATGCACTTCCTAGTTTATGTTTTTTTAGTTTTACTCACAGGAGACGCACATCCTAGTCGAGTCTTTGGTTTTACTCTCATCATCGCAGCCTTCATCAATAGAATATGTGATTTACAGTTTTGCTAAAAACTCACAAATTTTTTCAGTGCAAACTGGGGTAGAAAATTTTGTTCGTTTTGTTGGTTTTGATTGCAGGCACCAACCTGGAGAACGAGGGTCGATATTTCAGAAATTGGTTTCAAGGTTCAAATCAGTAACAAGCGCCCACCTGGAGAATGAGGGAATTCAATTCTTTTCAGATTTATTTCAAGTTTCAAGTCGATAGAAGGCGCCCACCTGGAGAACGAGGGAATTCATTTCAGAGTTAAATTCAAGTTTCGAGTCAGTAGCAAGCGCCCACCTGGAGAACGAGAGAATTCATTTTAGAGTTAAATTCAAGCTTCAAGTCAGTAGCAAGCATCCACCTGGAGAATGAGGGAATTCATTTTAAAGCCATTTCAAGTTTCAATTTAGTAGCAGGCGCTCACCCGGAGAACAAGGAAATTCATTTCAAAGACAATCCAAGTTAGACGTAGCAGAAGTTCGCCTCAAGGATGCGAGTCAACAGTTCGAGATGCACGGCAAGACCGAGAAAAGATTCAAGACAGAAGAGTTGACAGGATTTTGTGGTTTTCTTGTAATTTTTATCTTATTTGGTTTTATTTTGATGTCTTGACAGGAACCACGGACCGGAACCACGACGATACTTCAATCGACTCTCTCCACCTCGTTATCCTTCTCCACTCTTTTTACTTCTGAACTATACGTGACCTGATTCCTTTATAGCCAAGAATATGTAGGCAACTCAGATAACAGAGTTCGGTCACAATCTTTTTATCCATCTTTATTTTATTTTGAATAAGTGTCAGGTCAGAAATTAATTACGTTACTTACTTAATTATTTGCTAAAAAACTTTTCGAGTTTTCAAGAAAATAGGGGCAGGTGTAAGCACGTAATTTTTGACCCGTACTATTTTTAAAGTTAGTGTTTCTAAAATATTTACTTATTTTTATTTTTTCGTAGGATTTTAGTCTACTTTTACTTTAATTTAAATTTAGAATATGAATTTGAAAACATAAAAAATAGTTTCATCTTTTCTCTTATTTTTATTTAATTAAGTTATTAGTATTTTTGTAGTGATATTATTTTAAGAATGAATTTTTGGATTAGTTCTTATTTTTATGTCACAAGACCAACATTTTGAGCCAAATCAGGCCAAATTTTAGGCCTAAATTCGGAGCCCACTTCTTCCCTAACCCAGTAGCCCAACTCCCCTTAAACCCTAGCCTTTTATTTTATTTAATCCAATGGTCCATATTAACCCCCAAATCCCATATAGCTTGATCTTTAAAATAAAAAAGACCTAGGCTTTTGAACCCTAAGAAGAAGGAGGTCAGCCGTCACCTAACCCCCCATCTTCACCTTAGAGCCATCTCACCTCCTTTCATAGATCCAGCCACCACACCAACCTTCTCTGCCTATCGCCGCTGCGCCACCACTAAAGAAAAAAAGGCAGTCACTCCACCCTCAACAAAAACTCACCGAAAACCTAGCACACCCCACCCTTCTTGATATCCCAACGATCCCACTCTCCCTTTCACTTTGAGAGAACACAACCAATCTCTCATCTCCCAAAATTGAAAGAAACGGCAAAAAACAGAAGGGGAAGGGGATTTGGAAAATGAAACAGAGAAGAGAACAGACTACCCTAGAGCTAACAGCCGCACTCCCTAAAGTTTGAGACTCTAATCTCTCTATTTCTCACGTCTCATCAGTGACTTCCATACCCCTATTCTCATTTCCCCCATATCTCTCTCCCTTTCCGTAGCTACTGTCGTCGCCATCATTTAAGCCATGGTCACCGAAAATCTGTCGCTCGCCTCATTTTGGTCAAGTTAAAGAGGTCGAATTCGATTTCGCTAGCGAGTTTCAGTTCGTTGGGCTTGGTAGAGTTTTTTTATTCTCGATTCAGTGTGAATTCATTCCAATTTTTCAGAAAAAAATTATCATTAAAGGTCTAATTCTCTTTTGTTTTTTGTGCATTTTTATGTTATAACTTTGTTGTTGATTGCTTGACTTTGCACATTGATTTTGCGGCTGATATTATAAATTGTATGTTAGTATGTTCTTGGCAGAATAGTTGTTATGCTTTGAATCACTTATTCTTTAGTTGAGAGCACAAGAAATGAATTGGATTTGGGTTATAGGTTTAGGTAAAAAGTTGAAATTGAAGATGATGCTATCTTGAAGACATGGAAGTAATTTGAACTTAATAATGATTTTGATTAATTTTCTTGTTTGATTTTATTCTATTAATGGTCATGGGATCGGGACTAAAAGGAGCAGAATTGAAATTTGAATATTACATGTTCACTACTTTATTATTTTATTTTGACCGCTAGTAGTATGCTTAGGCCGACTACACTTGGGTAGACGACTTTTAGGTCTCGTCTTTTATTTCATTCGAGCTGAGGGGTTGTTCCTTTTAGTCTATATTCAGGGGGTTCCCCCGTAGATTTTGTATATATTATTATCCGGGGTATGTGTGACGACCCGGCCAGTCGTCTCATGAGTTACCGCTCTGTTTCCTCCATTTTAGCTTCTTTATACTTCGTTATCCGTGTTTTTGTGGTATCGGGTTGGGCGGATCGAGTCCGGAATGAGTTTGGTGAAGTTTGAGACACTTAATCTCATTTAAGAAGGCTTAAGTTGGAAAAGTTAATCGGATGTTGACTTATGTGTTAGAAGGCTCGGAACTAAGTTCCTATGGTTCAGTTAGCTTCGGGAGGTGATTTGTGACTTAGGAGCACGATCGAAATGGGTTTTGGAGTAGTAGAGAAGATTTAGGCTTAAATTGGCGAAGTTGATATTTTGGCGATTCCGGTTGATAGGCAAGATTTTGATATAGGGGTCAGAATGGAATTCCGAGAGTGACAGTAGCTTCGTTGTGTCATTTGGGATCTGTGTGCAAAATTTTAGGTCATTCGGACGAGATTTGATAGACTTTTTGATCAAAAGCATAATTTAAGAGTTCTTAGACTTGAATCCTATGTTAAATTGGTAATTAATGTTGTTGTGAGCGTTCCGAAGTTTTGAACAAGTTTGAACGATGTCATGGGATGTGTTGGTACAATTGGTTTGAAGTTCCGGGTAGGTTCCGGGATATTTTAGGCCGAAAATCATAGCTGTAGCAGGTCCAGAAGGGTTGCAGGCCTCGGAACCCACCCGCGCGGTCCACACAAAAAGAAGTGCGACCACGGTATGTGCTGTGCGAACCGCACAAAATGAAGTGCGGCCGCGGTAGGTGCTGTGCGGACTGCACAAAATGCTGTGTGGCCGTAGTGGGGAACATTTCACTGGTCCTACTTCAGAAGCTCATATCTTTTGATCTACAAAGAATTTTGAGATGATTCAAAAACAAAAGTTATGGCAAAAATACTAGAGCCTGTCACTACAGAGGAAAGCCTGTGCGGCCGCGGTCGTTTTTGTACGGACCGCACTGGTTTTGTGTGGACCGCGGTCGATTTTGTGCGGTCCGCGGAGGGAAAATCTGTGGGGTACTCTATAAATACGAGGTTTTGGGTTTTATTTGATATTTTCACCTAGAGAGCTCGGATTTTGGCGATTTTTGGAAGGTTTTTCAAGAAATTAATCGGGGTAAGTGATTCTAACTCAGATTTGGCTAGAGTACATGAATCTATCATTGAATTCATCATTTAATTGGTGATTTGGGATGGAAGTTGGGAAGAAAATTGTGAAATCTTTCAAAAATGTAAAATGATGATTTGAAGGACCAAATGATATCGGAATTGGATAATTTTTGTATGGTTAGACTCGTGAGAGTGTAAGGATTCTAGTTTTGTGAATTTTGTCAAATTTTGAGATGTGGCCCCGGGGGTCGGGTTTGACTAATTTCTAGAATTTTGTGGTAATTCGATTGTTTTAGCTTGGGCTTTATTCCTTTAGCATATTGTGATGTATTCTTCTGATTTTGGATAGATTCGACGCGCGTGGATGCCGATTCGAGGGGCAATGGCGTCGCAATTTAGAAATTTAGCCGGTTCAAGGTGAGTAATGATTGTAAATAATGCTCTGAGGGTTTGAAACTCTGGATTGCACATCGTAGTGTTATATTGAGGCGAGGCACACGCTTGATGACGAGCGTGGGTTCATGTACTATTGGGGATTGTGATTTGGTCCATCCCGACTGATGATTTTACCGCGTATTTGATTAAAATTTATATGTTATCATCATGATTTGGGCTGACTGCCATATTTGGGCTTCGTGCTAACTATTTGAACCCTTTGGGGATTTTTAGTACTATTTCCTCACTGTTTTGACTTATTAATTGAACTCAGTCATGTTATTTTCCACTATTTTAGCACTCAGCCATTTTTACTCCGTTTTGAGACTTAAATGATATTTTAAAAGATTTTTTGGTCTGAGAAATAATGTTTTACTAATGCCCGAGGGGCTTGCGAGTATTTTTGACTAAGTAAGGCCGATGGCCTAGTTGTGAGGAAACACTGATACTGATTTGAGGCCGAGGGCCTGAGATATGTACGCCACGAGGTGGCTTGTTGATATTGTTTATGAGGCCGAGGGCCTGAGATATATACGCCACGAGGTGGCTTGATTGATATGAGGCCGAGGGCCTAGATTTGATGTCACGAGATGACTTGATATTGCACTTGGGCCGTAAGGGGCCCCTCCCAGAGTCTGTACACCCCCATTGAGCGCGGATACCCATTGATGTGAGATTGAGCCCGAGGGGCTGGTACTGTTCTGAGATGTTGCCCGAGGGGCGGTTTTTTTGTTGATACTGTGCCCGAGGGGCGAACTTTTACTTGTTATTTACCTGTTAATTACTTGTTTACCTACTGAAAAAGGGATTTACTTGATTCTTCACTGATTTACTAATTTTAAGTGATTTTATTACTTCGGTATAGAATGCTTTGTGTTTTACGTATTTTCTTACTTTCAGCCATTATTTATATTTATTACTCACTGGGTCGGAGTACTCACATTACTCCCTGCACCTTGTGTGCAGATTCAAGCGTAGCAGGTCCCGCTCTTGAGTGCTTATCCTTCTAGTCCAGGCAATGTTTCGGAGACTGCAAGGTAGCTGTTGGCGTCCGCAGCCCCAGTGTCTCCCTTATCTCATTATTTCTATGTTTTTCAAGCAGTTGTATCAGATATCACATTTAGTAGACTTGTATTAGGATCCTTAGTTGCTCATGACTTGTGACATCCCGGTTAGGGCTGTGTCGGTTGGGTTTTCGTTTTGTTATCTCTATTTCCGCTAAATATTTCTATTAAATCATGTTTAAAGTATCTTTATGTTATTTAACTGCTTAAAATGGTGAATTATGTTCAATTGGCTGGCCTTGTCTTCATGAGAGTCGCCATCACAACCGGGTTTGGGGTTAAAGTCGTGACAAGTTAGTATCAGAGCCTAGGTTACATAAGTCTCACGAGTCTTGAGCAGGATTAGTAGAGTCTCGTGGATCAGTACGGAGACGTCTGTATTTATCCTTGAGAGGCTGTAAAACCCTTAGGAAAAACTTCATAATTCTCAAAATTCTTATCGTGCGAACTTGTTGATACGAGTACTGAACTTCTGTTATTCTATTCTCTCATAGATGGTGAGGACACACGCTACCGGATGGGGTGGATGACCCCCAATGCCACCAGCTGTAGCCACCAGAGGCCAAGGACGCGACCGTGGTAGAGGCAGAGCAGCGAGGGCAGCACCTGTAGATCCACCAGCTGCCCCAGCTCAGGATCAGGCTCCAGCTATGGATGCTCCAACAGCACCAATTCAGGCACCAACTGAGCCCATCGTGATTCCGGATCTTCAGGAGGCCTTGGCACAGATCTTATCAGTTTGCACTGGCCTGGCTCAGGCAGTTTCAACCACTATAGCAACAGCTACTTCACAGGCCGTGCGAGGCAATCAGACCCCTGCTGCTTGTATACCTGAGCAGGTAGTGCAGGGACTTCAGACGTCGAGGGCACTTCCAGCCCAACCAGTTGCACCAGCTAAGGAGTTTGTAGTACCAGTTATGCCGGATGATGAGCAGCGTCGACTTGAGAGGTTTGGTAGACTCCAACCTCCGACTTTTAGCAGAGCAGAGGGTGAGGATGCCCAGGGTTTCCTGGATAAGTGCCAACGGATGCTCCGTACAGTAGGGATTCTTGAGTCTAGTGGTGTGGCATTTACCACCTTTCAGTTCTCGGGGGCTTATTTCACTTGGTGGGAGTCTATGAGAGGCGTAGGCCTGTTGGTGCAACGCCCCTTACTTGGCAGCAGTTCTCCGTTCTCTTCCGGGAGAAGTATGTGCCGCAGTCCCGCAGAGAGGAGCTGCGTAGACAGTTTGAGTGGTTGCGACAGGAGGATATGACTGTGTCACAGTATGAGTTAAGGTTTTTTGAGTTCGCTCGTCATGCCATCTGGATGGTTTCGACCGATCGAGAGAGGATCAGGAGATTTGTTGATGGTCTTACTTATTAGCTCTGCATTCTTATGACCAGAGAGAGAGTGATGGGTGCTACCTTCGAGGAGGTTGTTGATACCGCCCAGGAGATTGAGTCTGTTCACCATCAGGAGCAAGAAGAGAGGGAGGCCAAGAGGCCTCGAGGATCGGACAGTTATAATGGTGCTCCTTTGAGGGGCCAATTTCAGTATGGTAGAGGACGTTCATTCAGGCCTGCTCAGTCAGCTCGCCCATGTTATAGTGGGGCATCTTCGGGTCATGGTTATCATGGATATCAGTAGGGCCAATCATCACTCAGCGCCCTCTCAGCTCAGAGTTCATTTTGTGCCCCATCGGCTCAGGGTTCTTCCATGTCGAGCGCATCTGCTAGTCACTCTGGTGTGAGGGGTTCCCTTCAGTCCCCTTCTCCAGCACTTGGGAGTTGTTATGAGTGTGGCGAGATAGGCCACATATGGAGGCAGTGTCCTCGTCGTGTTGCTAGTTCATCCCAGCAGAGGGGTCAGTCTTTGGCTCCAGTGCTAGTTTCTTCACCACCACCCGCTCAGCCAGCTAGGGGTAGAGGTCAGTCAGTCAGGGGTTGCCCCAGAAAGGGAGGTCGATCAGGGGGAAATCAGGCCCATTTCTATGCACTCCCAGGAAGACTCGATGCTATTGCTTCAGATGTTGTTATCACAGGTATTATTTCCGTCTGCCACAAAGATGCCTCTGTATTATTTGATCTCAGTTCCACCTTTTCTTATGTGTCATAATATTTTGCTCGTTATTTGGGTACGACCTATGAGTTTCTTGCTTTACTTGTTCATGTATCTACCCCGATGGGCGATACTGTTGTTGTAGACCATGTGTACCGATCATGTGTGGTGATTATTGGGGGTCTAGAGACCCGAGTGGATCTATTGCTATTGAGCATGGTGGATTTTGATGTCATTTTGGGCATGGACTGGTTATCTCCATATTGTGTTATTCTGGATTGTCATGCTAAGATAGTCACTTTGTCTATGCCAGGTGTACCGCGGATCAAGTGGCGTGGTGTGACTGATTATGTCCCTAGTAGGGTGATCTCCTTCTTGAGAGCCCAGCGTATGGTTGGGAAGGGTTGTCTTTCATACCTAGCATTTGTGAGGGATGTCGGGGACGAGACTCCCAGTATTGATTCTGTTCCAGTTGTGAGGGATTTATTCGATGTGTTTCCTGCAGACCTGCTGGGCATGCCACCGGACAAGGATATTGATTTTAGTATTGACCTGGTGCCGGGCAATCAACCCATTTCTATTTTGCCGTATTGTATGACACCAATAGAGTTGAATGAATTGAAGGAGCAACTTCAGTAACTCCTAGATAGGGGGTTCATTCGGCCTAGTGTGTCACCTTGGGGTACGCCGGTTCTGTTTGTGAAGAAGAAGGATGGTACAATGAGAATGTGTATTGATTATAGGCAATGTAACAAGGTAACAATTAAGAACAAGTATCCTTTGCCTCGCATTGATGATTTATTTAACCAACTTCAGGGAGCGAGGGCGTTCTCCAAGATTGATCTCCGTTCAGGTTATCACCAGTTGAAGACCAGGGACTCAGATATTCTTAAGATGACTTTCAGGACCCGATATGGTGATTATGAGTTCTTGGTGATGTCTTTTGGGATGATCAATGCCCAGCAGCATTCATGCATTTGATGAACAGTGCGGCCGTATCTCAATTCATCGTCATAGTCTTCATTGATGATATTCTGGTGTATTCGCGTAGTTAAGGGAGCACGCGTAGTATTTGGGAGTTGTATTACAGAGATTGAGGGAGGAGAAGCATTATGCAAAATTCACCAAGTGTGAGTTTTGGCTTAGTTCAGTGGCTTCTTGGGGCACATGGTGTCCAACGAGGGTATTCAGGTTGATCCGAAGAAGATAGAGGTGGTTCAGAGTTGGCCCAGACCGTCCTCAGCCACAGAGATTCGCAGTTTTCTTGGTTTGGTAGGCTATTATTGCCGGTTTGTTCAGAGATTCTCATCTATCGCATCGCCCTTGACCAAGTTGACTCAGAAGGGTGCTACATTTGTATGGTCGGACGAGTGTGAGGAGAGCTTTTAGAAGCTCAAGACAGCTTTGACCATAACTCTAGTGTTGGTTTTCTCATTAGCTTTAGGTTCATATACTGTGTATTGTGATGCTTCTAGAGTTGAGATTGGTTGTGTGTTGATGCAAGAGGGTAGAGTTATAGCTTATGTTTCTCGTTAGTTGAAGCCCATGAGAAAAACTACCTCGTTCATGATTTGGAGTTGCCTGCCATAGTTCACGCATTGAAGATTTGGAGGCATTACCTGTATGGCGTATCTTGTAAGGTGTTCACTGATCATCGCAGTCTTCATCCTTTATTCAAGCAAAAGGATCTTAATTTGAGGTAGCAGAGATAGTTGGAGTTGCTTAAGGATTATGATATCACTATATTGTACCATCCGGGAAATGCCAATGTGGTGGCCGATGCTTTAAGCCGAAAGGCAGTGAGTATGGGGAGTTTGGCATGTATTCCAGTTGGGGAGAGACCTCTTGCAGTTGATGTTCAGGCCTTGTCCAATCGGTTTGTGAGATTAGACATTTCGGAGACCAGTCGGGTATTGGCTTGTGTGGTTTCTCGTTCTTCATTATATGATCGCATCAGAGAAAGCCAGTATGATGATCCGCATTTGTTTGTCCTTAAGGACAGAGTGCAACATGATGATGCTAGAGATGTGACCATCGGTGATGATGGGGTGTTGAGGATGCAGGGCCGGATCTACGTGCCCAATACGGATGGGCTTCGGGAGTTGATTCTGGAGGAGGACCATAGCTCGTGGTATTCCATTCATCCGGGTGCCGCGAAGAGCTATCAGGATTTGAACCAATACTATTGGTGGAGAAGAATGAAGAAAGATATTATGGGATTTGTAGCTCGATGTCTCAATTGTCAGCAGGTGAAATATGAGCATCAAAGACCGGGTGGCTTGCTACAACAGATGGATATTCCTGAGTGGAAGTGGGAGAGAATCACTATGGACTTTGTTGTTGGACTTCCACGAACTTTGAGGAAGTTCGATGCTATTTGGGTAATTGTGGATAGGCTGACCAAGTCTGCACACTTCATTCCTCTGTGTACTACCTATTCTTTAGAGCGGTTGGCAGGGATTTATATTCGGGAGATTGTTCGTTTGCATGGTGTTCCGGTTTCCATCATTTCAGATAGAGGTACTCAGTTTACTTTGTAGTTTTGGAGATCCGTGCAGAGAGAGTTGGGTACTCAAGTTGAGTTGAGCACAGATTTTCATCTTCAGACGGACGGGCAATCCGAGTGTACTATTTAGATATTGGAGGACATGTTGCGTGCTTGTGTTATTGATTTCGAAGGGGTGATGGGATAAGTTCCTACCGCTTGCAGAGTTTGCTTATAACAACAGATACCAGTCGAGTATTCAAATGGCTCCATATGAGGCTTTTTATGGGAGGCGGTGCAGATCTCCAGTTGGTTGGTTCGAGCCCGATGGGGTCAAGCTATTGGGGACTGATTTGGTACAGGATGCTTTGGAGAAGGTGAAGGTGATTTAGGAGAGGCTTCGTATAGCGCAGTCGAGGTAAAAGAGTTATGCTGATAGGAAGGTTCGAGATGTGTCCTACATGGTTGGCGAGAAGGTCAGTCTAAGCTATTGAATGCTTAGATTTCGATACAGGCCGCATAGCGAATTTTACGGCTTTTCTCAAAATAACAACGTGTTAGTCTTTAGGCGCGTATTTAACAATGTTATTTTCCTAAACTCGGGTGCACATTTATGTGACCCA